GCCAACAATTCTTGACACCTCAGTATTACTGAGCATCACGCCTTCCTTTCAGTTTTGTGCACTGTGAGTAGTTTCAAGCAAGGTGATCACAGGTTTTATATTGGATTTAAAAGATTTGTGGTGGGTGGAAGGAATAATTAGTAGTCTGAGAGCTTGCACAGTGAGGTTAATAACATTCTAGTCTGCTTAGTCCTTTACAGTCCAACCTTCGGAAGCAAAATAGAGAGGACGGAATCTCTTAATGTGTTCCAGAACAAAAAAGCAGACCTGGGGAAATTCTAGTGGTTAGAAAGTTGGGCTAGGTCTTGGAAGAATTGGGTTCTAGTCCCTGTTTGGCCATAAAGCTCACTGGGTGATGTTGGGCCAGTCACAGAGTCTCAGGCTCATCCACCTGACAGGGTTTTTGTGATGATAAAATAGGAGGAGGAGACTTGTAATGGGGGGAAAACTGGGATTTGTTTGTTACATTTTTATACTACCCAATAACCCAAAGGCTCTCCTAGTGGTTAACAAGATCAGAGATGTAAAACAAGAACAATACAAGAAAACAAAACAACCAATAAAATAAACTAAAATCAACAAACTAATAAAGTCACTAGAACAACCAATAACAACAAAGCCACCATCCCCATATCAAGTTATAAACACTGGCACAATAATGCAATCCGACAAGGCAGCCGCTGCCATAATCAAGTTAAAATACAGGCACATTAATGATATAAAATACAATATTAAAAGTAACGTTAACTATTAAAATATTTGGTGAGTAAAAAGGTTTTCACCTGGCATCAAAAAGAGAAAAGGGCAGGTTCTTTGGGGAGTAGATTCCATAAATGGGGTGCCAGAATCAAAAAGGCCCTTCTGTTCACCACACCTACTTCCCTTGGAGGCTCTCTAAGAAGGACCCTGAAATGGTCTTAAGGCTCGGGTATGTATGTCTGGAATGAGGCATTCCTTCGGATAACCTGGCTCCAAGCTGTTTAGGCCAACTTTATTATATTATAGGGGAATGAAACATCTTTCAGTTTGAGGGCTGGATTTCATTTGCGAGAAACTCCTGGGGACCACATTCCAAAGGTCTGTACAGAGAAGGCAGAAGAGACAAGACCAAAATCCCAGAAACTACTAGCAAATGTTAGCTTTAAGCTTTTATTGCTAGTAATTCAATTAGGATTTACTCATTTGGCACTTTCTGGGACAAACAAACTGCACATTACCAACTTTGCCGTATGATTTCCCTGCTCCCCGCAAATGTGTTTGATGGTATATATTACATTTGAAAAATGCACATTGAAAAATGCATCCTTTGGGAAAATGTGCACAAGTACACTTTAATCAATTGGAGAAGAATGTGTTACATGTCAGAAATGCATATATTTAGAAAATAATACATTTGGGAAAATATGCATGAAAATGCTTGCAAAAAGAAAAAAATATTGCAATCTAATATGGACTAGAGTTGGAATGAACTTCAATATGGTATTCAAAGCACTTTGGTGAGCCTGAGTTTTGCTGTTTAGCAGCTCCAGCTACAAACGTCCTCCTGGCTCGATCATAACAGTCAAGTAGGATCATTTTGTTCCTTTTTTCCTTAGCGATTTTCAAAATATACTATTTATATACTTATTTATATATAAGATGCATATACCGCCTTTCTTCTTACAAAAAATTCAAAGCAGCTTACACAATTCTCCTCTTCCTCCCGCTCTCAGTTTTATCCCCACAACAACCCTGTGAGGTAGCTAGGCCGAGAGTCTCTGACTGGCCCAAAGATGTCCAGTTATCTCCATGGCTGAGTGGGGGCTAAAATCCAGGTCACCTCAGTCTCAGTCCCATGCTCTTAACCACGCCACTATGCTGGCGCTTGCATTTTATTCAAACTAGCCTTCATTCCAGCTGTGTTTCTGGGTTTTACATGGTTTTCTGTTCTAGTTGGGAGCACGTTCATGGTCCCTGACATCTGAAAAAATCCTAGGGATGAGAGGATTATTCAGAAACTCATCTCCAAGGTCCTATGACCGGTGCGGAAAGAGTTGTGCCAGCTTCCTCTCTAAGCCTGCAAGCTAGCCCCCAAGAGCAGAAAAAGGCCATGCCAGGGGGACGGGGAAGGGAAGAAGTTGGGAGCAGTGGCCCACACCATTCCAGATGGTAGCCCAGCATCCCTCTGCGTGATAGTTCAGGCCCAAAACAGCCATCTTGGTGGAATGGAGGGTGTGAAGCACAATGCCACAGGAATTGCTGTTGCTGCACCTTTCACCATGTGTTGAATATGCACAAGCTTCTGAGTTGGAAAGGTAATGTGCAGCCAGGGTGGAGGGCACTGAATTGCACCCTAAAAATTTTACATGACTTTTTCATCATGCTGTATTTTACAGATTTAAATTTTGTGAACAGAGCGTCAGCTATTGTAATAAATAAAGCAAATTCATGAAGTGATAAAGTACTCACAATAAAATAATTTGCAAATACTTGTTTAAAATAATAAGTAACAATTATTTTAAAAAATAGTAAATAAAAATAAATAAAGGCATGTAATGAATAAAGTTAATTACTATTGAACCGTCATCCCAAAAATGGCTAGTGCGAAGATTTGCACAGGGAATAGATGCAGCCGATTCTCTACTTCTAAAGAGTTCCATTTTGTGCTGGGGACTTAATTTTCTTAGCAACACTGAACCAGCTTTGGTGTCTCAACAAGAAACCCTGAAAAATTTCACTCACTGAAAAGACAGGGCTTGTGGAATAGGTGTAGGTCTCTGAGTGTGCAGATCGCTCAGCCATCCAGCTTACCTCAGGCGAGGAAAAAAAAAAAGCAGGCGTGTTTCTGGTCCCAGGGGGAGACTCTGAGCCAAGACTCACTTCTCCTCTCATGAGTCTTGCACTGGGGAAGCTTTCCATGAAATCCCCAGTCTGTGCAAAGAAAGATATTGAGGAGAGGGCAAGATACAGCTGCAACCACCATAGAACATCCAAGGAAGAAACAGATCATTTTGCAACAGCTGTCTGCATTTTTATATATCTATTGTGGAACTATGAGTCCTGCCACATTGCTCAGCCCTGAGCTCCAAATCCTCCTCAGTTTACTGGTAGGTAATTTTCATTCTACATATTATTATAGGCCTATATAAAAGCAACTCATACTCATGAATGCTCATTCCCAAAGGAAAAAATACTGTGTGCAAAAATAAAGCTGGATAGTGGTCTACAATGACACACATCCATAATATGAACAATCTTGCTAGTGACAAACTTAATCAAAAGCTGCTTTGCAAATGCAAGGTGAAGGGTGAATAACAGCAAATTTTGAGCATGATCAAGGCAGAGAAAAACACTTTTAAGTCTCACAGATGGGAATGAGTGTTCCAATAATCCCTCTCTCTGAAATAAATGGGTCTTAAAAATGCTTTAACTTTCGGTGGATTGTGTCCAAAGTAATTACAGGATTAGGGGAGTAGTAAAGGGAACTTTTGTTAGATTAAAATAATGCTTAGTAAAAAGAATTGAAAGTAATGAAATAATAGACTCAAAAATAAAACAGTCCATAGACAACATAATTAATGACTCTTAAACTGAGAAATATAATGTTGTACCTCTGGGTCTGAGTGCATGATGGGGGTGACTCGAAGAATATAGCACTGGTCTATATAATAACTGTTTCTATATATCATTTGTGTATGGCAGTGGGGAAAATATAGGGTGAAAAGTCCCATCTTACTGTCTTCCTATCTCTCCGTGCATTTTAGCAGCTATATTTCTTCACATCACATTCAGCTGAAGAATTCTGTTCTTAGGTCTACTTTTAGTTTGGACCCTTTTTAAATTGCCTGCAGTATTCACAGACCAGGGGATGGGATTCTCCTGTCCTTAATTTGCAGTCCTGCTTCTCTCAAATGCAATTTATATGATTTGGACTGGTCATAGCCTATTGAACATGGAGGTCATAAAAAACCTCTGTGCTCAGTTGCAGATCCCCTTGGGTTCACCGGGGGATGCTGTGTTGAAGTGTTAAAGTGAGATTCAGTTGCCAGTCTGGTTGGCTTTTGCATGTATGCAGGATGGGACGTGGAGATGCCATCTTGCCTTTCGCCGGAGGCAACAAAGCATCTTTAACTGGTCCTGATCAAAGAATTTGCGCTGCCCTCTTTGCACAGGGCTTCATGGACAGGAGTCTATGACTGTTCAGGCCCAGACTCGGCCAGCACACCACTTGTGTTGGATGTTCAGATCCCACTTTCATCTCAGGGCTGTGGAACTGGGTACCCATTAGAGCAGAGGTGAGGGATGAGTGCCCCTTTGTTCCCAAAAGTAATTAAACAGTGTCTCCAATCAGGCCGAGCCAGCATAGGCAATAGTGAAGGATAATAGGAGTTGCTGTCCAACAACTTCTGCAGGGCCACAAGTACCCCACCCCTGAGTTAGGGGCTGCAAGGTATAAGAGAGTGGGCTGCTATAGTTCTGACACTGTATCTGCAGAGGAACACCCAATATCCACAGTTAAATGCCTGCTTACAGATCACCACTTTCTGTTGCCTTGAAAATGATTTCTCTCTTTTTCTTTTTCTCTTTACTCCCCTTCCCTTGTGAATCATGTCATGTTACTTTGTAAGCCTGACTCACCTTTTCATTGATGTGAGCCACTTGAAGAGACAATCATTGTCAGAAAGCAGGATAAAAATGCAGTGAATGGATGGATGGATGGATGAATGAATGCTCAGTTTGGTGCTTTGGTAATCCAGAAAAAAAAGAGCATAGTACCAAAATAACATTCACAACAGCAAGAGCAGAAATCACTTTAAACAAGAATTTAAGCAAAACATTGAACAGCATTTTGTGTGCGCTTTCCCTGTATTGTGTGCCTCACCTTGGTTCACTCCTCAATTCCTTCCCCATTTACAATGTCAGTACTAGGAAATAAGCATGACTTATGCTTAAAGACCGTATGGCTTTTGACTTTATTCACCCACATATATAAGAGCTTTTTCTATGTGTCTCTGCACCAGGCTGTTTCATTGGATGCGTGGCATGATTTGGATAACACTGACTATGACTGCTGGCCCCTGGAGAAACCAGACGAGTTTAACATGCTGGATTGTGGAGGTGAGTGCATCCCTCATTCATACAGGCTACAACAGCTTTTGCCAGCGCAGTAGACTGGAAAAAATGTAAATAATCAAGAAGATTCCTAATGCTTCTCTAATCTTCTATCTCAATGCAAATAAATGAGTCAGCAGTAACGTCTATTTCTAGGTAAATTAAACTGAGGAAAATATCCAGCCTTCATGCCAGACCTTTCCTGGTGTTTGAACATTCCAAGGAAAAATTCAAATAGAGGATAGAATATTTGCAAATATGTGTAGAATTGTCCAGGAAATTTATCTTGTACAGTATTAAAATGAATAAGAGCCATCCACGCTTATAGAGCTCCAATTAATTGCAATGGTATTAGCGTAAGTGAAATGCCTATTGTCTTAGAACCATGGCTCCAAAATTAGATCAACTTCACACTGCAATTCTATTGGGAGAGCTCTTACAAAATAGCTGCAAAAGGACTTGCCCAAAATGACTGCCATGATGGGCATGACTAGACCCAAAACTTTCGTTTTCCAGAAGGCAAACTGAAGATTAAAAAGGAACCTGCCCAAGAACTAAGGACAAGGACAGAGGTTGGATCTCACCTCCAAAACAGAAAACCAGTCTTTCAAATCTAAACAAAAAAGGCACTGGAAGGAACCGTATGCTTTGTGTTATTCCAGCCTTCCATTTAAGAAATAATACATAGAAATAAAATAAGACAGGCACCAAGCCAGATATCTGCAGGGACACTGGTGCACATGGGCACCACACTGCAGATCCCAGCTTTATAAATTTGCAGCTGTTAATGCCCATATAGAATGTTGTGGCTGTTCTCAGACTGATGTGCTCATTAGAAAATGAAAAACAACTATCCTGCTCAAATGAAGGCATTTTTTTCCAAGCCCAAAACCAAAATTTTTATAAGGAAATGTGGGGGTCCCAAGGGCCCTCAGAAAGTGCTCAGGACATGCCTGCTAAATGCTCCATTCCTTCGTTGGGCTGTTGTAGTCAGACTAGGCACCAGATGTACTAATCCCTAGAGCTTTTCTGCTTGTCTTTTTGGGCTTTGATCTTGCTGATCATTCAGTGATCATAATGGTTTAGTGTGCACACCCCCCCTTCAGCTCTAAAATAGCTTTGGCAAATGCCTTCAGAACTGAATCACTGATTGCACACATGGTGGATAAAACTCCTTTCATCTTGCTGAAGCAGCATATAATTTCTGAAAATATTTCTTCAAATAGTTCTTTAAGAGAAAAGAAGAATATTTAGGATGGAGGAACAAGCCATTTTTTGTTTTTTTAGAACAAAATAGCCTTAGTCCTAAGACTTTGGCATTAATAGTTTAGTTAGAATGAAACTGTTTCTGAGTTGCCTTTAATTATTTTATTTCATTTATTTGTTAGAGCTTTTATACACTGTTCGCAGTAGCCAAATGGCTCTCTGAATGGTTCACAGTAAAAATAAATGAAAACTCAGTACATTAAAACAATACAATAGTATATACATGATATAATATAAAGTATAATACACTAGTCCTAAACCAGAATAAAATACATGATCAAATAAACAATAAACAACAATCGATGGTGATCCAACAAAAATATAAAATACATTGCAAAAAGTATAACATTGTAAACATTTCCTTGTTTAACAATCAAAATACAGGGCAAATAGAAAGATTTTAGCCTGGTGTCAAAAAGCATAAGGACTCTGTGCCAGATGCACCTTTCTGTAGAGCTGATTCCACAATCAGGGTGCCACAAGTGAGAAGGCCCTTCCCCTAGTGGCCACCCTCCTTACCATTTTTAAAGGAGAAAGACCTCAGTGGATGATCTTAAGGTCTGGATAGGCATATATGGGAGGAGACATTCCTTCAGATATCCAGGCCCTAAACTGTTTAGGGCTTTATATCAGTGCAAGCATGTTAAAGCAGTCCTGGACCTCAAGTAGTTACCTGTGTAGATGATAAAGGACAGGTGCTGTATGTTCTTACCTACCAATCCTAGTTAATAGGTGAGCTGTCCTATTCTGTACCAAATCTTCATTCCTCATGTTTGCGAGGGCTGGGCATTAGTTATCAACTTTGTCTCCAAGCAGCAAAACTGGTTTGTTAGTGTGTATTTTATGAGCACAATGTCATCATTTCAAAACTGTATGCCTAAAAAATAAAGTAAAACAATGATCAGTTGTCCCACGAGACCCAGACCCTACTCATTTAGGAATACTGAAGCCATAGAAATCACTTGAGTTGCAGGGAAGAACCTACTAATTAAGGGACAGTTGCAAGAAGCAGGAACTTTGGGACTTATTTCTGAATAAGCAGATTGTGTGCTTTTGCCCATGGGGGACAAGCATTGCCAAATTTTAACTGGGAAAATAGCAGAGCATTAAGTGCCACATGCAGCCACTCTTTTAATTCTGCTTCCAGCTGTTTAGAACAGCAATTCCTCTGTTTTGCTTAACGGACCCTAGCAGGGTATTAATGCTTGAGAGTTTGGATGAGCAGATTGATAGTCTGTCACATGGCCAGTAATCTTCTCCAATTGATCCACACAAAATGAAAACAGTCGATCCTCCAAGATAGTGGACCCTATTCTGATTTTGGGGCCCTGGCAAGCACCCAAACTGGCAATTGTCTAGAGCCAGGCCTGTAACAGTCTATTTAGGGTTGACAAGCTAGCCATGCTTTTCTTTCTGAGTCACCATGACCAACAGAATTTCTTGGATAGAAGATAGCTTATATTCTTTGTAGAATCTGAACGGTTTAAAAAGTGCAACATACACTCAGTCCTTTCTATAAATCATGTTGTTGTACAGAGCAGCTCTTTATTGTTCAATGTCTTTGTAGTCAGTTCTCTCTCTCTCTCTCTCTCTCTCTCTCTCTGTCTCTCTGTCTCTCTGTCTCTCTCTGTCTCTCTCTCTCTCTCTCGCTAATAGCCATAACAATCTTAAGAAGACTTGCAAGAGGCAACCAGTCATTGCACACAGAATACATATAGAAATATCTCACATACAATGTCAACTGAGAGTGAGAATCTTACACCAAACTGCATCCTTCTGAAAGCAGATCATAACAGCATCATCCCTACTGGATTGCTCAGGAATCCATAAAGTGAAGTGTAAATCTCATTTTGCACAGCTAAACAGACATTGCTTCCTCAGTTACATTGACCCATCAGGACCAGCCCAAAGCATTTTGTGGCCTGAGGTGAAGGAGTACTTGGCAAGCACTAACATCCCGCTCATGGAAACAGCCTAGACGATATTAACAGCATCTTCTATTGTACCTGGAGCTGGCAGACCATGTCACACACACAGCTCTTTCTTCCAGCAGCTTGCCATGGCTTGCCTACAGGTCCATTTAGCTCCCATTCTGTCCCACACACAGCTTTCTGCTGCCTCACTTTACCTAAGGTAAGACAAGGCTGGTCACTTACACACTAACCAAAAGAACCCTGTTAGGGCAAGATCACTCACAGGTCATATTGGTAAAGGTCTCTTTCTAAGTTTTTGGGCTGCAAAATAATGATCCAGTTTTGATCTGTCCATTTTGACCCTTGTCTCTTCTTTATTTCTAGGCCTAGAGATGGCTTGGGTCCAGAGGCCTCCAGAAAAAATCATAAGTGGACAGTCCTTTGATGTAATCTATGCCCTCTTTGCTTCTGACTACTTTTACCACTATGCTGTGGAAAATGGAATCCTTTCTCACAGGTGAAAACTGGCATGCAGTGTTGTACTCCTGCTTCAGGAGATGTTGCAGTATATAACCAGAGAGGTCATGGAAGATTCCATCACCCACATAACCGATTGGGCAGTACATGTTATTTGGGAATTAGGTTAGAATAACATTTTCCAAAGATGTAATACCTTCTTTAAAAAAAACTGGATTAAAAATGGATGCCCACTTCACTGTTATGGTAAAAAAGATGCACATATATCTTCTTAATTGGCTCACACAGTGATGGCAGACTTCCTCCTTGCAACTGCAAGACAGTTCATTGAATATTGCTACCAGGCCATCCATCTCCCCATGTGGCCAGTAAGAAGGCTCGATGCTTTCTGGGCAAGGTCAGTGCTTCTGGAGTTCCCCCACCTCTCAGCAATGGTGTGGGCAACTTCTTCCTTTCAAATGATGTCATGATCCACATACTGGCAGGAAAAAATGTTGCATGGGGCCTTCTGACTCCTACAGTGTACCAGTTGGAAGAAGCAACCAAACTGGTGGCTGAATTTGTCAGGACTCTTTTTTGGCCTCATACTGTGGCATATTTAGGGGGTTGGGGTGAGATTGCTGAGTTAAGCAGTTAATACACAGGTGGGTTACTCCATCATTCCTTTTATGTTCTTTCTCTGTGAAACAATGTGGTCAGCATAAATATCTCTGCATAAGCATTACCTTTGCAAAGTCTAATGCGCTAACGTATGTACTCATAGACCAGGGAGAGTTGAGGAACCCCCTGTAACCACAGGGGGACATTTGGCAAGGGCAGAAATGACTGCGTAGGATGTGCTAATAGCAACAGTTTCAACTTTTACTACCTTTTCCCTTTCCTGTCCCTTTTTCTTTTCCCACAGCCACACTGTAGAGTATCCCGAAAGAGATCAACCTTATTCTTTCCCTGATATCATTTCACCAGGTGGCATGTTAAAAACAATGTCATCATCTTCTCCTTGTCCTTGTCCTTGTCCTTCTCCTTCTCCTAAAAGATGCCTCCCATATTGCTGGATGGATATCTTCTGTTGCTGCTATCTAGAAATAAGATTGTTGGCTACTACTGCTGTTTAATTGATTTTATTTAATAGTATAGGATTTATGCTTTATTATTTCATTCTCTTAAACCCTGCATTGTAATTTTTAGAATTTTGACATTACCTTGAGTACCCTCAGGCAGACTGCAGCTAACAGACTGATTGATTAATTTGCAAACTATGCTTCATAACCTGCTGTTATAGGAAATCTTTTGTTTTTAAGCTATTCTCTATGTGGGTTATGTAAAATGTATTTATTTATTTAAAATATTTATATGCTCTCCTGTTGCAAAAAACCTCAGGACAGCTTACAGCATAAAATACAACATAAATAAATTCCCGACCCACACTGGCTACAGTTAAAACATAGAAAAGAGAATATTAAAACTTACTAAAATATCACTGGAATAAAAGGGTCTTAACCTGGCACCAAAAAACAAATAACAACAGCACCAGGTGGACCTCTCTGGGGAGCACATTCCATAGATGGGGCGCCACCACAGAGAAAGCCCTCCTCCGGGTACTTTGCCTCCTAATATCTTTCATGGAGGGTTCCTGGAAGAGAGCCTCTGCTGCCAATCTCAAGGGGCAGGAGGGCAAATATGGAAGAAGGCATTCTTTCAGGTATCTAGGTCCCAAGCCATTAAGGGCTTTATAGGTAATAACCAGCACCTTGAATTGAGCCTGGACTTCGATGGGAAGCCAGTGAAGCTGGTAAAGGACTGGGGTTATGTGAGAATAACGCCCAGTCCCCGTCAGCAACCTGGCTGCTCTGTTTTGCACCATCTGAAGTATCCGGACCGTCTTCAAGGGCAGCCCCACATAGAGCGCGTTACAGAAATCCAATCGGGAAGTAACCAATGCATGTGTCACTGTCGCTAGGCAGTCTTCCTCCAGGTAGGGATGCAGCTGATAGATTAGCCGAAGCTGAAGGAAAGCGCTCCTTGCCACCATGGTCACTTGAGCTTCTAAGGACAGCTCCGGGTCAAGGAACACTCCCAAGCTGCGGACCCTGTCCTATAGAAGGAGTGCAACCCCATCCAGGCCAAGGTCCAGGCCACCTTCCCAGGAGCTTGATCCACCCACCAACAGGACTTCCATCTTGTCTGGATTAAGTTTCAGTTTATTGGTCCTCATCCAGCCCATTACCTCAGCCAGACACCGGTTCAGTACAGCCACTGTCTCACCTGGATTGGTTGAAAAAGAGAGATAGAGCTGGGTGTCATCAGCATACTGATGATTCCACAGCCCAAACCTCCTGATGACCTCTCCCAGCGGTTTCATGTAGATATTAAATAGCAAGGGGACAAGATGGAACCCTGCGGTTCTCCATGGCATAACTGCCATGGCGCAGAGCCAAAGTCCCCCAGCACCACCTTCTGGAATCGGCCATCCAGGTAGGAGCGGAACCACTGCTAAGCAGTGCCTCCTACTCCCAATCCTGCCAGCCTATCCAGAAGGATACCATGGTCGATGGTATCGAAAGCCGCTGAGAGGTCCAGGAGGACCAACAGGGACGCACTCCCCCTGTCTCTCTCCCTGCACAATTCATCATACAGGGCGACCAAGGCGTATTCAGTGCCAAACCTGGGTCTGAAGCTGGACTGACATGGGTCCAGATAATCAGCTTCATCCAAGAGTGCTTGGAGTTGTCCCACCACCACCCATTCCAACACCTTGCCCAAGAATGGGATGTTGGCCACCGGTCTATAATTGGCGGCCATCTCTGGATCCAGGTACCCCTTCTTTAGGACAGGCCTGATTACCACCTCCTTTAAAGGAGCAGGCACCAGACCGTCCCTCAGAGAGGCGTTAATAACCTCCAGGACCCAGGCACCAATCCCGTGTTTGGCTTTGGTCAGCAGCCACGACGGGCAAGGGTCAAGTAAGCAGGTGGTGGGATGTACTTGTCCAAGCACCTTGTCCACATCATGAGGCCACAATAACTGAAATTCATCCAATAATACCTGACCAGACGGAGTCATTGGCATCTCCTCTAAAGGATCTGAATCACTTGTGGGGTGCTGGGCAAAGTTGTCACAGTGGGCCATCAAAGGTGGTATAGGATCTTTCTTAGGGCCAGGATGTATCAGCCCATGTACCACTCGAAAGAGCTCCACTGGATGACACTGTGAGGAGGCAATGAAAGTGGAGAAGAATTTCTTCTTCGCTGCCCTCACCGCCACAGCATAGGCTCGATAATGAGCTCGTAGGCGTGTTCGGTCAGATTCATCCCGTGATTTCCTCCACCTATGCTCTAGACATCTCCCAACCCGCTTCATCGCCCATAATTCGGGCGATGAACGGGCTCTGCCAGGCAGGAGAGGATGCTTAGGAGCGATCGTGTCAATAGCTCTGGTCATTTCCCCATTCCACAGTTCAACCAGAGCATCAACAGGAGCATCAGCTTTATCAACCGGAAAATCCCCCAGAACCTTCAGGAATCCATCCGGATCCATCCGGCTCTGAGGGTGGACCAACACAATAGGGCCCGCATCCTTACAGAGGGAAAGGCTGGCATCGAGCTCAAACCTCACGAGGAAGTGATCTGACCACAACAAGAGAGTCAGACACAAATTCCTCACCCTCAGATCACCCTCTTCCTGACCTGTCGAGAAAACCAGGTCCAGCATGTGCCCATGTTCATGGGTCGGGCCAATGACATGTTGAGACAGCCCCATGGCTGCCATGGAGGCCATGAAGTCCTGAGCCGCCCCGGTCAGAACAGTCTCGGCATGGAGACTGAAGTCCCCCAGGACCAGCATCCTGGGAGTCTTCAACATCAGGTCCGAGACGATCTCCATCAGCTGAAAATTGCTGAAATTTGCCACTTGGCTCTTTCTAACTGATCTGGCCAGGGCAACTTCTTCTTCCTTCTCTTTCTCCCCCTATATTTTTATTTTATACTGATAATTTTAATTTTATATTTGTAAATCAATGTCTTTTTTGTATTTTTATATTTAATGGTAATTTATTATGTACTATTGTATTTCAATGTATTTTATCATGTTGTAAGCCGCCCCGAGGTTTCGGCAAGGGGCGGCATAGAAATGTTATAATAATAATAATAATAATAATAATAATAATAATAATAACAACAACAACAACAACAACAACAACAACAACAACAACAACAACTGCAACATATCGATGGGGTTCACACAGCACATTAAGCCATGGGGGTTTAGGACATTGCTTGAATCCAACATTCTTCCCAAATGGCAGTTTATAAGCCATGGCTTATAGTAGGGTTTAATAGTGCTAGTGTGATCATTAAGACAGGGTGGAGACCCATGGAATGAAAGGCTAAGTGAAGAAAGTAGGATGCCTGAGAAATTCTGTCTTTGAAAATTCTGACCTGATGTGACTTGCTCAGACAAAAATGTGTGAATTAGAAGTTAGTTATCCATGAACTGTCAGTCATCCTTCCTGAATATTCCAGGAATATTCCTGAATATTCCTTGCAACTCTCAGTGCCAGACCCTCAGCCAGCATATACATTCTGAGAGAGGGAATAGTAAAAAAAAAAAAGTGTGTAGCGGGAGACAGTTCATCCAGTTTGCAAGACCTTATAAACACAAACATGTTTTTAATTGTTTGTTTGTTAAAAGGGGGGCAGGAAAAAATTGGGGGGGGGGAGGTCCTGCAGGTCACCCCTGGGTATAAGCCCACTCAATGCAAAACTATAACATATACAATTATGTGTCATATAATTTTGAGAGAAAAGTAAAATTAGAGAGATTCATGTTTTGAGAGAAAATACATTTAAAATGTGCCTTTAAATATATATTTAAATATGGATTTGCATGCAAATTTAATAATAATAATTACAAATTAACATGGAAAGAGGACAGAACAAATTTATGTGTGAATACATATGAAAGTGATATGATCTGGAAAGAGATAGATTCACTGATCCTGAGGGGATAGGACAAATTGTGGCCTCTATTCTTAGCTGTTCTAATACAAAGATAATCTGTAGGCCTGCTTTAAACAAGGCATTCAGACTGATTTCAACGAAACCTTTGTCTGTGATTGTTTTTAAAGTGATGCCGCTGCTGCTAAGAAGTTTTGTGAGGAGCAGGAATGCCCTCCCAACTGGAAAGACGCGAATGGCGAGAACTGTTGTGTCCATCATGCAAACATTCATTCCTGTCCAATGGCATTCATGGTTAGTATGGATTCCGAGTTACTGGTTTGACATAGTGGTGTGGCATCTCAGAAGACTAATACACATTACAGCCTGGAAAAGTATTTAGGCACAAAGTGAGAGGGAAGGAAACAGTGAGAGCAAGGAGCAGGACTGGACCAAAACTCTGAGCGGCTTCAGGTGAAGGACAAGTTGGCACCCTCATACGCATGCACACATTCCGCACACAAGCAGGCTAGCTGAGCGGACAGCTGAATTTAACTCCAGCAGTGGCAACTGGACAGTGTCCTCCAGTGCACCCAAGAGCAGCCAGCTTGCATGTGGAGTGCAAAGCAGGTTGTGTAACACACAGAGCTCTTCAGGGAATCACCACTGCTTCTTTTTCTTTCAAAGAACTCAAGGTGGCTTACCTATTTCTCCTCCTCCTTTCAGTCTTATTTTCACAGCGGCAGCCATGTTAGATAGGCTGGACTGAGAACCTGTGACTGGTCGAAAGTCACCCAGTGAACTCCTTGGCTGAGTGTGGCACTAGAACCCAGATCTAGTTGATCCCAGTCTTGCATTCTTAACCACTGTGCCACACTGCCTGTCGGTGCACTGGCAAGGAATCTCTGGTGTTTTGCTGTTGTGCTGACCCACCTTCTTTTGGGGGTTTCTTTTCGCTTCTTTCCTTTGCCCTCTTTATTGAGCCTTGTTCCTCCCATTTTAATCTTTGGGAATGGAGACACTATACCTGCAGTAAGTTAACAACCTGCCACAGACAACGTTCAATGAGCCTAAATTCAGAACACTGTTGAGGGCACTTTAGTTTTTAGCTCTGGCTACATGCACAGAAATGTTTTTGTGGGGCTTTCAGCTCATCCACGCATTCACAGTCCTTGTATAAATAAGGAAGCCATTAAGTTACAATTAGCAAAACATCCATCTTCATGAGAATATACTGCATGCATCTTGCGAAATTCTTTGGGAATCACTCTCTGTCCCTCTGGGAACTTCATTAGACATGCCACACACCCACCATCATCGGCTTTCTCCCAGCCCAGTGGTGTTCTCTATTCTATGCCCAATAGTAGTGAATAACAGCCATTCATTTATATGGGGAAATACTATTTAGATGGTGCTAAAACTATGATTCTGGCTTGCTGATGGCACCTCATGGAAATTATTCTGGCATCCTGTATCAGCATAGACTCACCGTTTCATATGCGTAACTGTAGGGTCTATATTTTGATCATACTTTTCCTTCCATGGAGCAAATGAAACAAAACTCTAGTAAATGACGAGGGCAAGAGCCAAAATGGGCTCTTACTTTGGTGTCAGCCTGAGGGCTTGTTTATATAATAGACTCAGGGCCAATCTATACATTATGCAAATAGTGTAGTAATTACTATTTGTCTGAGTGTAGCTGTGCATGGCCCTGATTTGGATTGGAGCCAATGCTTTCTGGAATGATAAGCAACCCTTTTGTACTGGTTGGCACTTTGAAGACATGTCCTTGGCATCACCCTGATATGGCTGACTTGGAAGTTGTGGCAAGTTACAAGTAACCTGCCCCAAAAGTCCTAGCACGGAGATTAGCCCAAAGCAGGACTGGGGTCTCAGCCTCAGCAGAGTGGAAGCAGACGCCTCACGTGCATGTTAACAAAATGTAGTTTTGTTCTTTTCTCCCCCCACCCTCCCCGGGCCACTTTCTCCAGAAACATCACTCATGCACACAGGACTTTTGATGGCCAGAAGACACCCTGGCTTTCTGGGATTACCCCTCCACTGTCCCTACTTCCACTAGAAGTTGCCTTTAAAGATATATATATTGCATATATATGGTTTCTGGTTTCTTTGAATTCTTGAAACATGCTATATAATAGTAAGACATCTTCTTTAGAAATTGTGGGAAAGCCATTTCTGGCACCTAGGTTTCTCATTCCCTTTTTTCATTGTGTAGATATGAAGATTTGTGAGTTGACTGAAAGGACACAGTATTAACCATCAGTTATTAAAGTTTTATTTTGGTTCAGATATTTTATGCTTCCCTGCTTAGATGGAACTTTATATGAAAGCTAAGAGGAATGTGGCTTTGCAATATGGAATGCATTTTTATTGCAAGGGCTCAGCTCGGCTAAGTAAGAGCTATTTATACTTTCTGTGTTTTTCCACTTTTTACGTTTAATTTTTAAATTTTTTTAAAGCTTAGCTTGCAGGAATGATCCACATTTTGATATATCATCAAGGAAGATGTCCATAGGAATGCCTGAAATTAGCCACCAGAAATAAGCCTTTTTTAAAAAGTTAAAACCTTAAGACCTTCATATTGCAAATTTTATCACAATATAGCGACTATAATCCTTCCTGGTTATGTCTTGCTGAGAGATGAAAGTCTTTGAAAACTACTCAGACTTTCTCAAGTCAAAAAATGGGCTATTGTGGTAGCTGTCAGAACAAGGTGAACATCAAAGGAAACGCTGCAGTGGATCCTCTCTGTGGAAACTGTATAGGCAAAACTCTCTTATTAAGTTGCAATGCTATACTCAATGAACTGGAACTTGAAATCAATTAAGACATACTACTGAGTAGATAGGTTTGCTGTTTGTTATATTTACATCTCAGTTTTTTTCCTTTTACACAAAGTCTAAAATGTTTCGCATGATCTTCCTCTATTTTATCCTCACAATGAGCTTGGGAGGTAGATTAGGCTGAAAGTCAGTGACTGAAGGATCCCCCCCCCCCCCCCCCCCCCCCCCAAGATCCAGTCCAGCTTTCTAATTAATACACCATATTGACTATCTGTATAGGATTGCATTGACAAGCACCTTTTAAAAGAGTTTGAGAGGATCTACCACTATTCATTATAGGGGAGAGAAATGCTGCTTAGTCAATGGAACCCTTCAGAGTCCTGACAGCTCTCTATACTGTGGTACATCTAATATTACTCCATTGTCTTATGAGGATTATTGCCAATTTGCAGCAGTGTATCTGACAGCAGGAGTGCGGTTCAAGTGGAAACTTCCTTCACAAAATGAAAGCAATTTTTAAAAAATCTATTCTTCCACAAAACCATACAGAATGCAATCGGATTTGTCCCTTCTTTGGACTGATGTCACTGTTAGCTTCAAGATTTATTGTCTTTCTTCTTAGCAAAGCAGAGCCAGTGCAGCAGTAGGAAAGACAGAGGAGCCAACAGAGTGTAGTCAGTACAAGATCTGACTTGAAAGCAGGAGATGCAGGTTCAGGTCTATGCTCAGACAGTGGATGGACTTGGGCAAGGCACCGTAAGGAGGTTCCCATGACTCTTTTCCCCCAACACACACTGAAGGGACAGGATTCTGGGACCACACAGGCTAACTCTGCTCTGCACCACTGAGACATGTTGGAGTCCCTCCCACACCACTAGTACCTTCTGTGGCAATAATTTCCCACAGTTGTCATGTTCACCAGCATGTTCTATGCAATATTTGTAGAGCTCCTCCAGAAAGGCACTCTATGTGCATACTACTATTTCTTCAAGATGGGGAAGACGGGAGAGGTCCCATGTTGAATTGGAAAATAAGCTTAAAGCGGCTTTTTTAAGATAGTTAAATTATGTTACTCCACAAGATTGCTTTCCA